ATGGAACACATCCTATTCCAAATATATGATAACCTCATGCTCCGTTGGCCCAAAAAAATGAAGTTCAGCCCAAACTATAGAAATTCCAGCAAGTGCTGTCGTTTCCACCGCGACCATGCCACGACACTAACGACTGCTTCATTCATCACCCCGAAGGGCACCTACTACTACAGGGTGATGCCCTTTGGACTCAAGAACGCCGAAGCCATATATCAGCGACTCATGAATGAGATGTTCGAGGCTCAAATCAGGAAGACCATGGAGGTCTACATAGACGATATGTTGGTGAAGAGTAGAAGGCCTACCTTGTCACACCACAATTGTTCTCCCATGTTGTACTGGGAGAGACCCTGTATCTCTACCTCTCCTCTTCACTCTCTCCTGTGAGCTCCGTCCTTGTCCAGGAGGATAAAGGCATCCAGAAACCTATGTATTATGTAAGCAGGACATATCGAGGGGTAGAGGTAAGGTACTCAGAGCTTGAAAAGTTGGTTCTCGCACTTGTCATCACTTCCAAGTGTCTACGCCACTACTTTCAGAGCCACACTATGGTGATTGTTACAGATCAACCACTAAAAAGAATTCTGAAAAAAACTGATGTGTCTGGTCGACTACTCAAATGAGCCATCGAGTTAAGTGAGCTCGATATGCAATACCAGTTGAGGGCGACCATCAAAGCACAAACACTAGCGAACTTCTTGGTTGAGTCTACACCGCCACAGGAATCTCGAGAGTCTACACCACCATAGTAGTCCTAGAAGGAAATATCACGCATCCCAGTGCTCACCTTCTTAGTACATAATGCCTCTACCCACCAAGAGGCAAGCCCATACATTATCTTGAAAGGGCCTGACGTTTCATAGATAACTCCACAGGTCCCAGGAGACCACACTTTGAGATAGAGGAGCCCGACTCCCTTTTGCCTACTCCACCAGAGCCCTCCGCACCCTCGCTACTGTCTACTATACAATGTTCGAGACTATAAGTGGATGGGTCCTCCACCAGCGAGGGTGGCGGAGCAAGATTAGTGATGATTAGCCCCCACCACACTCCACTCAAGTACCCTGTTTCCTTCCACTATGCAACATCTAACAACAAAGCTGAATATAAGGCCCTCTTATCAGGATTGAAGCTCGTATTGGAGATGGAGACCCTCTGCCTGACAGCCTACAGTGACTCACAAATGATAGTCAACCAGGTAAAGGAAGACTTTGAAGCAAATGAGGAAAAAAATGAAAGAATATCTATCAGTGGTTCAAGTATTGTTAAAAATGTTTACTTACTTTCAAATCCACCATGTGCCCCAAGAGGAGAACGACATGGCTAACGTCTTTGCAAAATTTGCATTTGCCAACATACTCATGGGCCCAGCACTTACAGGCCACCAGTTCGAGGCAAGCACCTTTAAGACAAAGAAGGACTAAGTTAATTGTACATCCTTTGAAGCTAACTGGATGACACCAATTTGAGCCTATCTAGAGGAGGGAGCTCTCCCAGACGATCTAGTGGAGACCAAAAAGTTGAGGATGAGAGCGTCCAAGTATATCATCTTACACAACACATTCTACATAAAGAGTTACTCATTGTCATTTCTTTGCTGTCTTACCCCCAAAGAAGCCAATTACACCATGAGGGAGATTCACAAGGGGATATATGAAAATCACTCGGGAGGGAATGCACTAACCCACAAACAGTAAGACATGGCTACTACTGGCCTAGCCTGATTAGAGACGCCCGAGAGTTCGTAAGGAAGTGCAACAAGTGTCAGCGCTTTGCAACTGTACCTAGATAGCCACTTGAAGAGCTCACCACCATTTAGAGCCTGTGACCTTTCTCCATGTGGGGGATCAAAATCCTAGGTCCCCTACCTATGAGTCTAGGCTAGTGCAAGTTCGTAGTGATAGTCATAGACTACTTTACTAAATGGACAGAAGTCAAGGCCTTAGTTTGGATAACAGACTATAAGGTGAAAGACTTTATATGGAGGAGTATAGTCTGCCGCTTCAGAGTACCTCACGCCATTGTGAGTGACAATGCCAAACAGTTTGACAACAAACTCCTTAATAGCTTCTATGCCGACCTACAAATCAAGCAGCCCCACTCCAATTCGACCTATCCACAGAAGAACGGGCAGGTAGAGGTTACCATCAGGACCATTCTTTAAAATTTGAAAACCAGATTGGAGGGTGCAAAAGGACGATGTGTAGACGAACTCCCTAGAGTGTTGTGGGCTTACCAGACGACACCAAGGAGACCCATAGGCAAGACCCCTTTTTCCCTAGCCTACGGGATAAAGACGGTCATACCTGTTGAGATTGGGTATAGTCCTTTAGGGTCCAACACTACGACCCTACCAATAATGAAGAAGGCATCAGCATCAACCCCGACTTGGTAGAGGATGAGAGGGAGATAGCCATGCTTAGGAATGAAAAGTATAAGTATCGCATGACCAAGTACTACAACTCGAGGATGAAGTCTCGCTCTTTCTTGTCCGGGGACCTAGTCCTCAAAAGGTCATCCTGCCTACCAAAAACTCCCGGGAAGGGAAGTTAGAACCTAACTAGGAAGGACCCTACACTGTCACAAAAGTTGTAAGACCGGACACCTACAGAATTCAGAATTTCGAGGAAAATTTTTTGGTCCATCCATGGAACACAAAGCACCTAAAGAAATATTACTAGTAACTGGGGCAAGGCAGTGAGTGTATAAGTCAGTAGTCACCATTTAGATTATCTATTGTTGTTTTGGTCAATTTCTCTGGATATTTACTTCAGATTATGAAATAAAAATTTTGCAAGACTTTTTCAAAAAATTGTGTCTAATAGAAGTTCATAAAGCATTTACAAAAGATAGAACATGGTCTAGCAACAAAAACACAAATACAAAGATACCATGCCCCTGACATCACTCCCCTGATCCGCTCCCATCATCGTTCACCTTCTCGTCATCAGTCCCTGAAGCCTCATAAGGGACGAAGCCAGAGAAATCATAAGCAGGAAAAGTTGTTGAGACCTTCCCCTTGAGCTCCTCATAGCCATCAATAAAGGTGTCTACTAGAGCCTTCTCAGCAGCATCTATCTTCTTCTCCATCTCCATGGAGTAAGCCTTTGCCTGGTAGCTCTCTAAAGAGCTGCTCAAAGGTCAGCCTCTGCCACAGCGGCCCTTTTATGGGATGCTCACAGCTTTATCTCTACTCTCGCGCTTGCAGCTTCTTTGTTAGCCTCCAATTAGGTGGCCTTCTTGCAAACACCTGAAGCTCGGTCTCATGTGTGGCAGCTCTCTAGTGTGCTAGCCTTGATTGCTCCTCGACAGTCTCTCAGGCCCTAGCTGCTCCTTAGCAGCCCTCCATGCTTGCCTTTCTGCTGATTGACCACTAAGCGCCTCTCTAAGCTTCAACGTGCTTGAAAACAAGCAAGGAAATGCAGTTGCTACCTATGGGTATCCAAAAGCCAGAACATGAAGGAAGGAAGACAGGTACAAGATCAAAGATGAGTAAAAGGCATACCAAAGTAAAGCCCTCCATCATTGTGTCGATGACGCTTTCTAGACCTCGAGAACCTACCTCTTGGATCTCCGCGGTGGTCACAAACCCCCACAGTCGCTCCTTGGCCAGATTTATATCTTGTAGCATAGACACCGAACCATAGGTAGAAGCAGGACAGCCGGGCGGAGCCACGGTCCTCTTAGGAGACCGCATTGAAGTCTCAATCCTTACGACCATGCTGGGATGAACTCCGTAAGGCGATGGTACCACAGTAGGGAAAGGAGTGAGGGCATCACCAAGTCCTGCCTCTTGGGGACTATCCTAGCCGGCAGATCTCGGTTAAGAAACACCAAGGGCATTAGACCTCGCCCTTTTAGAAGAAGGAGGGCAAGACGCCATCCTGGAAGCGTAGACAGCCTCCACTAGCTTCCTATCAATAGAAGTACCTACAAACTGGGTGTGAGACAAAAAACTTATAATATCGTAACCATCAAGAGTCTATTGGAAGGATTAGGTACCTTTCCTCTTTGGCCTATGAGAAACCTTGGGACGACCTGACGCGGACATAATCTTCAAGTATTCCTCGAAAGGATGATAACGAACTATTTGGAGCCTACTATCTAGCTCCGCAGATAATGTGGGTGAAACTACAAAGAAACAAACCGCACAGTGAGAATAGATATGCGATGACTAGAAGTAAAAATAAAAGTGAAATTCTTACCTAACTTGGTCCTCGAGATGGTGTCCCACCTCGAAGGCACCAGGTCACGATCTCCCTCAATGGTCTACTTGCCTCCAACAAAGAAAAACTTAGACTTCCAGCTATGACAGTTTAAAAGAAGCCCATTGGTGAGCTTGCCCAACTTTGGGGCAAAACGACACCACCCTTGATGAGAAAAGGGGTTAACCAGAATTACATATGTGGCCAAAAACTCCTTGAATGGGGGAGGGACGTCAGCACTGTGAACCAGCTGCCACAATGAGAAGAATGTCAGTATCATCCTCCACCCATTGGAAGCCAACCTCTCGGGAGCCAGTGACAAATGTCCTAGGACCCGATATATGGACCCAAGTATCGGGAACCTCAAACCCGCTTCTAAGGCAACCTTATAAAGAACAATTTCACCTGATGAGTCACTACACGCTGGTTCATCCTCCTTCGCCCAAAGACACATGATATCAGGAGGGATACAGTATGAAGATGCGATACGAGTGATATAATCATCACATTCAATGGAGCTGAATATGGAAGTCACCTTTGAGCCATTATCTCCAGTAGTGCTTCGCTCAATGTCTCGAGTAGCTTTCCCCACGATAACCTTGTCAGAGTGGGTGCCTGCCAACAAACAGAATCAAGACAGAATCAAGGTCAATGTTAAGGGAATACCAGTATCTATTGGGTTTTTTGAGAAGTCTAGTTATGTTTGATCCAGATGCTGAACCAACCTGAAATAATATTACGTGACTTTTAATGGGATATTTTTTAAAGCTTAGTCCATGGAGCAGAGGCTAGGGTTTAGTCTATGAAGAACATCTTACCCGTTTGAAGAACAAGCAAGCCCGAGCCTCTACTGGCGTCACCTAATCCTCCAAGAACAGCGCCACCTGGTGCGCTTCTTGCATCACCTAGTGAATCCGACGCAACATAGGTGTCACCTGGCGGGTTAGCGCCACCTGGCGAGTTGGTGCCGCCAGGTGAGTTGGCACCGCCTATCATGGCGTGGCCCTTTCTTCTATCTAAAACGACGTCAGCCCCACAATCCAAGGTGTCGCCCAAGCAACCCAAGACACCACCCAAGCCACCCAAAGTGTCACTGTCCGAGCCCCTAGCACCATCGTCCATGGAGCCAGTACTTCCATCCATTTCAATTCCCGTGCCAAGGGCGCTGTCGTGATCTCCTATAGTGTCACCAGCGGCATCTCTCGCCTTACCCCTCGTGTGTTACCTCCAACGCTATGGGCACCCCTACCTTTGCCTCCTATGGCGTCACCTGCATCATGGGCGCCACCCTTTGCACCAATGCCCTGCTTAACGAGGCCCTCGCCTAGACCGGTGTTGCCCATCTTCACCCTAACCATGGAGCCACCCAGCTTCGTCCATGGCTTCGCGAGGTCACTTAGGTTAGGCTCTCCCAAGGGCCTTGCATCCATCTTCCTTGCAGATCCATCCATGGACCCTCCTCTCGTTGTTCTCCCGCTACCCTCCATCCACTTTTCCTATGAACTATCTCTCTAAATGGCTTTTGAAATAAAGAACACCTAATAGAAAAATTGAGTTGTGGAATATATGGGTTTTCAAAGCCCTGTTTATAAAAGAGGAATTCTAAGAAAAATGGGGCAAACCTTTTAAGCTCTAAAGATTGGTGCCCTAAAAAAGGAGATTCAAACTCAACAAAGACTCCCCATAGGCAAGGATAACCAGAGCCATGGATGCCTAACCATGGAGTTATCAGAAGCTTCGTGATTAAGGGAAATGAGGAGACTACTGTGGGAAAAGGAAGAAAACTTTTGCTCGTCGAGGAAGATAGCACCGTGAAGAACAAAAAATCCTTTTTGAACAATGGGGCTCATTCATGCCTTCAACCCTTCTTTGTTACCATTGGGGCTTAGGCATGAGGGGTAAATGATGAGCTCAAATCTAATTGGGTCAGGCCCAAATAATCTAAAAGGCAGGTCAAGCCTAGTCCGTGAATTCAACCCAATCCAAGATTCAAGGAGTCTAAGAAGATTAAAGCATGTAAGGAGCAATTATGTAGATACTCACTCTCGAAGATCAGTACAACCTTTTATGACACTTACCTTTTGTGGCGACCCGGAGAATTTGTACATTTGTCCTCACGTCATTGCCTTAACCAAGGCTCTGTGCCTATAAATTGTAAGTTCTCTCTACATGAGAGGACACCATTTTACACCTCTAGAGACACCTCTAAATACCTCTTGAGGTATCTCTACACCTCTCTACACATACCATACATAATTTTTCTCTCTCCTAACTATTATATCTCTCTCGGGGTTAATCATTGATCTCTCTCTCTCTTGTTCACCTTAATCAATAAAAGGTCCCTTGGCCACCGTTGTTGTTTTTCAGAGTGAAGTAGATCACCCGTACCAAACCATTATATATTTAAGTGTTGACCCGATATTTACATTATTATCATTGATTATTCTATTAATTGTCCATTAATTACACTTTGTCACACACTCGACTGTTGATCTTGCATAAGACTATTTTGTGCATCATTACTTATGATGCTAGTGTTAAACAAAAGAAAAATAAAGGTGATCCTACCTGTCAAAATGATTATGCACAAATAATTAGAAATTTAATATATTTTATGAATTGTACACGTTCTGACATTACATATGCAATTGGTAGGTTAAGTATATACATACATTTATATCAATATCTATACTACTTTTAAATGTCAACAAAAATAAAAAAAAATTGTTTGACCAAAATAACCTTAACAATATAACTAATATCTATTCTATTTTTTTGTAATTAATAATATTATTAAATTATATGTAATTGTCATAGGTATAACTTATTGTGGACTATGGACTACTCACTATTATTTTAATTCCACAAACTATGATGATGCTGATAGGTGTTAACTGACGTTCTTATTTTGGGCCACTGAAACTCCAATAGAATTTTGCCGGCAAATAGTCTCTTCTTCAGTAATTCTCTAACCATGGAAGCCCTGATCAATCATTGTCCCTTCTTCTTTTGTTCCCATCTTCTCACCCAAACCTAAGACCCATCATACTTTTTCTTCAGAAGACAGGTCCCTTTTTTCTTTTTTTGAATTCTTTTTAAACGATTGAGCTTATGGCCTTTGTTTATATTCACTGTCAAATATGGATTGGAGCAAGAATCTTTGATTTAGCTATTTCAAGGTATATGCTTTGTATGTTTTCATGAGGAGAGTGTCAGCTACGTTACTTTAAAATGTCCCTTCCCTGTATGTAAATCAGGTCTTTTGTTGTGTTTCAGTTGGCAGGGGCTTTTGAAGTTGCGGCAAGACAATACCAAATTAATTAAGTAAATAGAACGGTTCAGGGGGTATGAATTCTTATTCATTGCATTCTTGTCGCAGATATACTCAAGCACTTGTTTATTTAAAAAAAATTAATTGAGGTCTATGAACTCTGAATAGTTGAAGTTTTTGATGATGTTGTTCTTACATGTCATATTTTTTGAATCGATGAGAGGTTCCATTGCTCATCTAGGATAATTTTTCTATGGTAGGCTCCTCTATTCAATGATTCTTTCTCTTGTTCAATGTCCTAAATGCCATTTCTTGGTCCTCTGCCCTTGTTAGGACTAGAAGCACAATCCCCAAACATATTTTTGAATAATACAATGCTAAATTAGTAGTTTAGAAGATGGGAAAAACAAAATTTGAAAAGCAAAGACTGATTAGTTCCGTTGGGTGAGGGTCAGGTTTTTCGAAAGATGTGATTTGCAATGAAGGAGGAAAAAGAAGACAGATTTGTCAAATTTGATTGACTAATACTAATGTCATTAAAAAGTCAAGAACACTCCTCCGATTTGCATCTTACCCCAAAAGTAAGCCATATGTTCATACTTTTCAGTTCCATTTTCCGTCATCTAATCTTTCATAATGGTTACACTTCTTTTTTGGTTGAAGATCATGGTAGTAAATTCAATCTCTCATTTGACTCTGACAGTTCAAATATTGTTCCAATCCTCAAGAATCACTCTCTCTGAGGTATTTGAATTAAACAATTTATTCATAGTGACTTTTTATTTTGTTAACAACATATCATGATTTGGGGGGTTTTTGATTTGGGTATTTGTTTGGAAAATTTTCAATATACAGTGTTGGGCTTGGTTCTGAGTGCTACTGACTCAAGTTAGACAAAAAGTGCGGGAGTGAAAAGCCCTTCAGGCCCTATGGATGAAGAGTCCAAGTCTATTGGTACAATCTTTGTATAAGCATTCACAATCTTTTCTAGGTATATCCCCTTTTGATTTATTTGACATAATTTTATTGGGTATATTCTTTATTCATTGTATTGGATGGTATTTTGGCACTACATATACACATCGATGGCCACATCGCCTCAAGAGAACACATCATCTACAATCTGTTGTACTCCTTTTTAGTTCAATATGTTCTTCTTGTGTATGTCATTGTCATCTTATCTTCCCTTTTTTTTTTTTTTTGTTATTTTGTTTGATCAATTGGATGCTAAAGTTTAACTAATTGAAGAATTGGAGCCTTCGTCTGTTGGTCTGGACTAGGGTGTTTTGAGCTTCATAATGGATGCAAAATGGTGAGAGATAGTTGTATTTGATCGTCATATATAAACACACATAAACACATGCGTGTGTGTGTGTGTATTCTTAGTGAATCCTTTTTTCTTGCCTATTGACCATTTATATTTGTTTCTGTTTTAGTTATAAAGATTGATTTATAGACCAACAAAGGATTTTGGGGTCTGTGTTTTAGAGTCTAGACTTCTACTAAGGCTGTATTTTTAAAGAAGATTTTCATTGGCTAGAACACGTTGGTTGTCAAAAATACTTGGGTAGGTAGTTATTACAAATCATCATTCGAGTTGATTAATACTGGGATTAGTCAACATGTAAAGCAAATGATGGTGTCTCATAAGTTTCCAAAGGCAATTTTTTGTGCTTTTCCGTCTTGAACTTCGGACTACTTGGTGGATGAAAGGTAGGTTTGATAACTATCATTCGAGTACTTTATTCCAAGTCACCTATTAGCATGCAATTTTATGGTAATTGAGAATAGTAACAGATGGTTGTAGTAGCTCTAAGTGGATATCAGTTTCTTATCTGTGAATTCCTAAAAATTATTGCAAATATATTTAAGTGGTGAATGGTTTTCATTGATACGCATTTGAATGCTAATGATGGTTTCTCAATTACTATACATGTTATCAACAACTAAGTGGTAGATCTTACTACACATTTGATGGTTGTACTCAATGCTACTACACATTTGATGGTTGTACTCAATGCTCTGCAAAAGGCATTGAACAAGGTCAACTTCACTAGAGTAGAACACTTGACCAGAGGTTTTGCCACCATTTTAGGTGGAAAATTACTAGCATTAGTTTGAATATTAATGAAAGAAATATAGATCTGTGTGAAATAGATAGCTTAATGGAATCCTTTGGGTGAAGGAACTTTGTTTTTCTTACAACATACTAAAAGCAAGATGGAAAATATTTTAATTAAGGGTTATTGTGGGAAATTTAATGTTTGATGTTATGGTACTTTGACGTGGGATTTTAGTGTGTATTTTCTAGGCTAATATCATTGGTATGCATAATTGAATTTAATTCTTTTGATACAAGTTAAAACTTGATGGAGTCAAGCTTATTTTTGATTATTTGATTGCAAAACTATAGAGATGCTACATGAAATCTCCTCAAATGGTAAAAATCCTACAATTACAAAGGCTCAAGTAGCCTCTATGTGTTACTAGACACAATGGCATTCCTAAAAGGGTTGGTGAAATTGTTTGGGTAGGGAACGAAGGCCAAGAGGGAAGTGTTATTTTTTTCAGTCGGGGGTGGGGCTTATAATTGACTCTTTGATTTTAGTTCTATTATTGTATATTGACTTTTGTAGCCTAATTTGACTCAAACCCATCCTCTAATCCTAGCTATCTATTTCTTTTACTGCATTTCAGTATCTCTCTTTGTTTTCTCTTTCAGTATCCACTATAGGACCATATCAACAAATGCTCATTTGTCTTTGTTAGTTAGACTAATTTTCATTGTATGTGATTTTTGTTCCTAGCTATTGATGTAAAACTACAATCATACATTACTTTGAGTGAAATTTGTTAGTTTACTCCTTTATTTTCCTTTTGCTTCTCCATACATCCCAAGTTTATATTCTCAAGTTGCTCCAATATTGAAAACAAACTTACAAAAGAAAAGAAAAAGAAAAAGAAAAATTGTAACAAGAAATGGTTCACATGCAACACACGTGCGTACCAACTAATAACCCGAATAAGGAATAGTAGAATATTGCATTTAGACTGTTGAAATACCTAAGGGACTGCTAATTATATTTTATCATATAATGAATTTTCCGTTGTACTAGGAAGGTATAGTGATGCTAATTGGATCTCTGATTCAGACAAGAAAAATTCCACAAGTGGTTATGTGTTCACCCTTGGTGGAAGTGCAATGTCTTGGAAATA